TGTCATCATTCACACAACACCCTGAGACATGTGCAGGCGCAGACATGGGTTGCATGCTCTGCCAAAGAGCATAAATCCATCTCTAGTATGAGAGGAAGCACACGCAAGTTCTCAAATCTGCTCTCTAGCCCTGTTTAATTTATTTATATAGATATAGCCATAGGAGACATACATCACACACTCTGCTCAGGAAAAAAAAAAATCAACAAAAGAGTCCCCATGTGGACAGATTATTCCACACATGGTCTGAAGGTGAATACAGGCAGACACGACTACCAACATCACCAGCCATTTCTCTTTTACCTTTGTTCCTCTTGCCATATCTCTCTCACTAGCAATGAAGCAAATCTAAAAATAAAGCCCCTTTGTTCATAGCTCTTTTTAATCTTTCCATTGTTCCAATTCAGCTATTTTTCCAGCAACCTGAATTTGTCAGAAGATAGCAAATGATGGAAGTTTTTTTTTTTTTTTTTGAAAGCATCGCCCACAGAAAAGTTCTAAGAATATCAGATTTCAATTCTTTCCTTGATTGACTTTTTACCCCCAGCTGCAAGCTGGAGATGGTCATCCTGAGTGACTGCTCCTTTTTAAATTCCTGAGGTTTTTTTTGGGAGGAGGGGTTGATTAGAGAGGTTTTTCATGCAACTTCCACTTTGGCAAAGCAACCAATTCCCACTTTTTCTTCCCAAGCCCCACAGTTCCTAGCTTATGCATTCAAGTCTCCTTTGTGAGCATTTTCTAATTTATGATCCTTTCCCTCATCCCTCATTCTTCTATGAAAGAAAACAATCATCAAAAAAATTCCCCAATCACATGGTTTAAACTGAGAACTAGACTTCAGCACAAAGGATGGCAGTGCAGAATCACTGAATGATGAGCCTGTTCCCGCTAGATCACTCTGCCTGCTTTTGTCTGAGCTTAGAAAAGGAGGATTCCCTTTCTGACTCCCTTTCTGCATGCACAGCAAAGGAAAGGAAAGGAAGTAAAGGAAAGGAGCTGGGAAAAACAAGACTCTAAAGTCTCCTGGAACAAAAGCAAAAGCCGGTCTAACACATCCTGCAATTTAGGAATAATAAACCAGCAGGAGAGCGCTTTATTTCGACCATTACTCCATTTCTCTGCTCTTCCCCAGCTCTACTGCTTGAGCAGCACTTCTCCCATGCCATAAATATTCTAGAGGAGAACCTAGTATGAAAACTTGCATAGTTCTGCAGCATTTCAAAATGCAAAAGAACTGAGAACAAGAAAAAAAAGCTATCATTAAGTACAGAATATAGCATACAGACTTGGCCTTGATCTCTGTCATACCAGAAAGAGGCACTTTCACAGCGCAAGTCACTGCTGCTACAAATCACTGCAGGCACAAATCAGACTCATCTGGATTTCTTTCCAAATTGTATGGAGGTTAAGGAAGTGCCAGAAGCCAACAGAAAAGGGGAATGAGAACGCAGCTCCTGCTAAACTACCACTTACAGCTTCATTAGCGGCACAAGGAACAATTCAAGCTTTTTTTATTTCACATTTGAACTTCTTTATGCAGCTCTGCAAAGTCAGTGGTAGGTCCTCCCGTGAGATAATACTTTGACTTCAAGAAATGACAGTTAATAAAATCAAGTATGATATTTTGCCCTTTTACAAAATCAGATCTCACTCTAACAGCATATATGGTACTCAAAGAATATACTCATTTCATTCAAAAGCATATATCTCAACTTAAACTAGACATGAAAGTAACCTTAGAAGTTTTAAGGACGGGCTTTTAGTGGCCATCTGCATTAGCAATATAATGTGCAAAAGGTTTATTTTTGGAGCAAATTTTCACCCACCTACATTTGGAAATTCGCAGTATGTTGTCCAGCGAGTTCTGAGTGGTTTCCCTCTTGGGGGAACGCAAGTGGAACCAACAACAGGCAACACAAACACACTTAAAAGAGTGTTTAAGTTTTAGTGAAGAATAACAGTCATAGAGAACTTTGGTGCGGAAAATTCAGGACCTTAAAATATATTCAAGATGACTAAACAAATAGTTTACAATTTTTACTCTTCTTAGCTCTACAGAGACACAGACAATTCTGGGAAACAGTGGTGGAGTTTTCTAGCTCATCAACAGATCTGCTGCTCACGTTCCAATTACAGGGCCTGCCCAAAAATTTACCTGCTTGACTGTAGCTGCCATCACATTAAATCTGATGGTAACTGGGTTAAAGAGATGTGCAAATGGGAGCAGAATCTGGACTGCATAGTCTCTGTTATTAGTGATGTCAGTCACAGCAGGAAACTCAACTGACCTTCACATTCTAGACAACATCTGCATTTCTGCCCATTAAAAAAATAAAATCTTTCTACCTTACACTGACCAAAATTTGAATCGGAATAAATAAGGAATAGCCACATAAGCCCTAAATTCTTTTTCTGTGCCATTAAGTGCAACCATAATACAGTAAATCTAGGAAAGGAAAAAAAAAAAAAAAACCTAAAACCTAAGCACACAATATAAAAATGTTGTGAAAACAGAGTTTCAGTAGTCTTTATGTCAGTTGTTATTCAAAAATTGCATTAGGACACAAGAAGGAGAAGTGACTATTTTGTATATCCTGGTTTCATTCACCATTAATGATATTTTCTTATCTAGACAGCATACTAAAATGCATTTACTGTTCTTCCTAAAATTAGCAATTTTAGGAATAATTGCCAGAAGCTCAGCAACGTTCATCAGTCTGTTTATCATACAATGCATATGCCTCTCAAGTCATCTGTTCCACTCAGCACTCGTGTAACAACTCCTGATAAACAGGCAGCAAGGGTCTGGGGGCACGTCTGCTCCGGCTGCTACTCTCTTTCTTGCTGAGGCAGTTCAGTAGGACTGGTACC